CCCCCCGTCCATCTGCTGCTTTTCCCGCTCTTTTTTGCTCTCTCCCTACAGGATTGGTCATTGCAATATCCAGGCAGACTTACCTTAGTTTAGGCGGGAAAAGTTGCTGGCTTCAATGGCCTCTGATTGGCTGAAGAGGGTTATATAAACACAGATCCCTTGTGAGCTTCTCACCTTTCTCCGGCTGACGTTCAGATGAAGGGGGTTTAACACCGCGGATGTCAACTGGTTAATATACCAAGTTGCGAGACATTTCTGTTGGGGCATTGTTTTATGTCACCTCCCTGAGGGGGACATTTCAAAAGATATTGGAACCTGTTTTATTATTATTGGTGTGCTTGGGCCTTTCTAGCCAAGCTCTAGTTATGTAATTGAAGTTATGCTATTTATTTATTGATATATATTTAGAAAATGTTAATATATTCAGTAAACCAATAAAAAATGCAGAGGCCATTTCTTGCCAATTGGAGAGTGTTCGTTTTATTTTAATAATATAAAAGGTTTGCTTGGTTTTGAATGTCGCTTGCTTTTCCATGTGATGATTCAAGGACCTTAGATCACCGTAGCGGAGGAGGAGGAAGGCTCCAGGGACCATTCTAAAATTCCACCATCTCCGAGAATCAAGTATAACTTTTTAACCCAGACACAAACGAACACTTAACCCTTGCAGTGTAGGGGTAGCCCCACTGCAAGGGACAAGATTTATTTTCCCCCAGAGCTCTGCTTTAATGCAATGCACTAAAACATGCATTAACGCACCATACAAAGGTAAATGGGCCCTAAATCAAACCATTTGATCACCATATTGTCAGAGACTTGAAAAGCATTGAAGTCATTGGATTACCGTTATGGCCAAGCAACCAGCATTTTTAGAAGGAGAGAGCAGCTTCGGCAGCCTCCTTTTTTTGGGGGGAACAATGGCCACGCCCATATAAAATATGTGTGGGGTCTTTGCTGACATATTTTTAAAGGTACCAAGTCTGCTACTGAAACTTTATCCTTTCTCCACCACCAGGGAGCCTGTCACAGCACGTCATCGGTGGCAGTCCATATTTCTTTAGTGTTAGGTCCTGGTGATAAAAGGTTTAGAATAACTGTTAATCTGGCCGCCCATTATACAATCTGATTGTACATTCTCCTTTAGTTTTTAAGTGTATCAAAACCCAAGAACAAAATGTTGCATTTGACGAGTCCTTAAATATGGCAGCTGAAATAGTTTTCCTATTTCAGGCTTTGTTCTATTTATTTCAACCAAGTGATTAGGGATGAACTTTGCGTTTGAGCCAAACCCAAGCTGTTCCAAGTTCGCTGGATGGGCAAATTATTTGGCCAGTCCCCCTGCCTGCCACACCTCTGTCTGTGTCCTAGCAACCAATTAAGTTGGTTGACTGATGGCTGAGCTGCAGGGAGGAACCTCCAAGAGAACATCCAAATGAGCCAAACCGAGAACTGCCTTTGTCCTAGCAACCAATAATGATGTGCGAACTGCATGGCATCATTGGTTGCTAGAGCAGTAGTGGCTGGGCTGCACTGCATCTTTGGTTGCAAGGATGCAGGGCCACGCACCATAACAAGAAAGTCTGTCCCCTCTTACCTTGGTATGTCCAGCCTGCCACCCCCGGGGCCTCTCAAGCCAGAACGTATGATGCCTCAAGGCCACACAGCGTCATTGGTTGCCAAGATGCTCATGAGCGTACAGTGTCATTGGTTGTTATGGCGCACATACTAGCAACCAATGAGGCAGTGCGGCCCAGCTGCTAGCACCCTAGCAACCAATAGCACCTGGGCTGCAAGACCCACAGCATCATGGATTACTAGGACACAGACAGCCTTGGGATTGGTTCTCTTGGACATGCGTCAATCCCTGGCTGCGTTTGAGAAATTTTAAAGGGAACCACACCCAGGCCTGTTCGCTCATAACTGCTGCCAGTAACACACTTCCTGTCCTAGAGTGACAACGCTCACTCATTGTACTGCATTCTTACAGAAGTAGTGTAACATTTGAAGCATGCAAATAATTGTTCTGCTGCGATCAGATCACAGCACCGATATTTCACAAACAAGATGCAGACACAAAAGAACACAACAGCCTCTGCTGCCCGCCGTGACTGTCACATGACCTTTAGAGTGAATAAAGAACGAGGCGCTTATACAGCAAAAT